AATTCATATGACACAGTTTTCTTTTTGTTATTATCAATTCAGAGAATGAATTATTCTTCTGTGGTAACATTTCATTTTGTGTAGAAGATAATGGTGATAATATTGAGACTTAAACAGACTTGGTATATTAGAAATGATGAGGAGATCCATCACGTCATTGGTTTCACTGCAAGAGTTCAGAGACTCTACCAATCTACCACCAATAAGAATCTTAGATTACATCTAGTGGTTCTTTTTACTAAGTTATCTAATTACATATATAATGCCAATCATCAGGGTACACAACCAGGTCATGGCACCATTCAACAGCAACTTTTTTTTTAAAACTCAAATCTTGAAATAATTAAGCACTGAAATTAAAAGTCTATCATGGTTGAGAAACTCAACAAAATAGAAATTTCAGATGCTTGAAATAAAGACGATATCGAATTTCATATTTCTACATTACGGAACACGGTGTATCTAAAAATTATCTACTATTTAGACTAATATGAAGAGAATGAATGATAAAAAATTCAGCCGACCAATCATTTCATCTTCCAAGGTTTCGACAAAACTCCACACATTCCACTAGGTAACTAATCAAAAACCAATTTTGTTCCGAAAGTACTATCTTTAAAATTGTATCAACTAAATTAACACATATTCCGAAATTAAAGTCATTTGGTGAAATATTTAAGAAACCACAAACCTGCTTGGTGATCTTTTGGATAACTTCATCCGAGAGACCATCACCTGCCGAAGAGCTTAGATCTAGATCATCACCTGTATGTGCTCCCTCGTGCTCTCCAAACCCGCCGGCAGCCCCACCCCCACCCCCACCCCCGTAGTACTCAAACGAACTCGGCCCAGGGCCGAAGCACGCCGGACCTGGAGGCGCCTGGTGAAAGACGTGCATCACCGGACGCGCCGCCGGGCCGTGACCGTGGCGGATCGGCGCCGCACGGGGTACGAACTCGGCGGCCCGGGCGTTGAGGCGGCTGGAGGAGAGGGCACGGGAGAGGGCGGGGTCGGAGGAACCCGGCGGCGATCGGCCGTCCTCGGTGATCTCTGGGGTTTGGTCGTCCATGTCTTGGGCCATTAGGGTTTGGAAGCCCGTTCGGGCGGAGAGGTAAGATTCTCAAGAAAATACGACGATCACGACAAGCGGTATTTATATGCCGCCTCAGGAGAGCGCCAAGCTTTTGCTATCACGACAAGCGGTATTTATATTTCTAGTCCTGCGTGTCAAACAACCATTAGACAAAGAGTGGGCTCCAGCATGACCTGGTGGAAATTTACGCTGAGAGTGAGACGTGGCTGCAAACTGGTGAAGCTAATTTATATTAGCCTCTATAAATGTGATGGCTTCCGTACTCGTATATCGAAGTAATATAATTATTTGGCCTTTATTATGGGGAAAAAAGAGATAATTGGAGGCCTTTTTCGCTAAAACGCCAAAAGATTATTAATAGACCCCATTTTCCACGGATAAATAGAACCTCACCAAAGATGCGCACTTTGGTCATCCGTCAACCCTTGGCGGCAAAAGCTTCCATTCCAATTCCAGATCCTCCGCAGATCTCCTCGTCCATGAAAGCAGCAGGTCGAAAGAGAAGAAAAGTGTGTCCCACAATGGAGGAGAAGGCGCAGAAGAAAACCGCAACAGAGGCAAGCAGAGCAGCGGAGGAAGAGAAGGTGAAGAAGCGAACAGCTGTAAAGGCATCGGCACGGCAGTGCCATCGAGAGGGGATGGAATCTGGCAGCACACTCGGAGACATAGAGGACTTCTCCGCAGACGATGCCCAGCGGATAAGGGCCGCCCTCCTCCGCTGGTATGACGTGCACCGCCGCGTCTTGCCGTGGCGGACGGCCAACAGCGGCGGCATCCGCGGGAACGGGGAGGAGGGAAAGGAGGTGGATCAGGAAAGGGCTTACGCTGTCTGGGTGTCGGAGATGATGCTGCAGCAGACCAGGGTGCAAACCGTCATCGCTTACTACAATCGCTGGATGGATAAGTGGCCGACGGTCCACCACCTCGCGTCCGCGTCCCAAGAGGTTCTGTTCTTTGCACTAGCTAGCAATGGCTGCCTTTAAAAATTCGTCGTGAATTTAAGATGACGGAGAAGAGACGGTAGAGAATGCTGATTCCTTTTTACTGATTTGGTTCCTTCTTGCAGGAAGTGAATGAAGTGTGGGCTGGTTTGGGTTACTATCGAAGGGCCCGTTTTCTCTTGGAGGTGATTCCCAAACCCAATCCTCTTAAATTTTGGATCTTCCGTTCTACCAGTGGGAATCGAAGTCAGAATATATTCAATTCACTATTTCTTACAAAAGGGGGAGTTTTGAGATATTTTTCCATTATTTTCGTTTGTGTTTGTAAACTTTCATTATGATATTCTATAACTACAAGGACAAATGGAATTGACTCTTCTATTGTGGATTAGGGCGCTAAGTCGATTGTCCAAGAAGGAGAGTTTCCTCGAACAGCTTCTGAGCTTCGGAAGGTTCGAGGAATTGGGGATTACACCGCAGGAGCCATTGCTTCTATAGCTTTCAATGAGGTAACCTTTCTTTGACCTTTTAGTTTCTTGTCTTCTTTGGCTGATGAATGATCCATGCTTATTGACTTCCTAACCATCCAGTTCGATGATGATCTTCCTAGGCAGTGCCTGCCGTTGATGGAAATGTTGTCAGGGTGATCAGTAGGCTGAAGGCCATCTCTGCTAACCCAAAAAAATCAACAACAGTGAAGGGAATCTGGTGAGAACCTGAGTCTGTTTTGAATCAGTGAAAGTCAAAAGTGTAATACACCATGAACCTGAGCCTATGATCAGCTCTGAAAAATCTGATGCTTGATTAAAACTCTCTGCAGGGATGATTCCTGTTGTCTTTCTCACAGTTAATTACTTTTTTACCTTTTGATAGTTTAGTTCCATAAGTCCATATCGCAAACTTGAATCTGGCATGAAGTGTACTACTTTTGGGCTTTGGCACTCTTAACTTCCTATTTTATGCCATAGGAAGCTAGCTTCGCAGTTGGTTGATCCCTTAAGACCTGGAGATTCCAATCAAGCTATGATGGAACTAGGGGCAACCTTGTGTAGCACTACGACCCCAGGTTGTTCAGCATGCCCAATTTCAGAGGCCTGTCTTGCACTTTCACTCTCCAGAAGTAGTGGATCAACTGATGTCACTGATTATCCGTCAAAGGTAGCAAAGACAAAACAACGTCATGATTTTGCTGCTGTTTGTGTTGTTCAATTAACTGAAGGATCGGATGAAGAATCTTTAAGAGGTAGGAATAACAATGACGTGTTACTTTTGGTTAAAAGGCCAGAGGAAGGATTGCTTGCTGGCCTTTGGGAGTTCCCAACTGTCCTGCTGGATGAAGAAGTAATAGATGTTGGCACAAGGAGAAAAATTGTAGACAAGTATCTGAAGGAGTTGTTTCATATCAATTTAAAAGAGATCTGCAATGTGATCTTGAGAGAAGATGTAGGGAAGTATGTTCATATATTTTCTCACATCCGGCTCCATATGCATGTTGAACTTTTGATTTTGAAACTGGAAGGTACTGACCTTCTATCCCTTCATAACAATGATCTTGTGCATTGTATTCCCATGGGATCAAAGTCTTCATTACTTATATAGTGTTGCTTTGTAGGTGACTTAAGACAATTTTCTGAAAACATCCAATGCACAAGTGCTTGGAAGTGTGTAGATGGCAAGTCCATGAAGAATATGGGATTGACATCTGGAGTACGAAAGGTATTGTGACCTTCAAGCATTGTTGTCTTGTTTTATGCATTTCTTTGTGATTAAGTTGGAACTCCATGATAGGAGATGAAGCAGAGTTCTGTAAAGGCTCAAATATTTTATCATCCAGTACTTGTCAATTGGCCACAAATGCACATATTCATGACTTAAAATTTTCCTGTTGTAGGTTTATAATATGATTCAAGATTATAAGAAGCAGCAGCTGTTACAATGTCCGATGCTGTCACTGAGGAAGAAATGCAAAAGTTCAATATAATGGGATCGATCAGCTAACATATATGTCGTCAAACTGTTTGAGGCTTCTTAGTTTTTTTCTGACTAGTGCACTGTCTCACAGTTTACTTGATTGATGTGGTAAGCTATCCTGGTCATTCTCCTTCACATCTGTACATCTGATCCTGAAATTTTTGTACAAGTATATTATCTTACACAATGTATGATTGTGTAGAATTTTCAATCATATGCAAACTATGTGATCTGATTGAGCAGATACTTGTCAATTTTTTCTTTATTAGAACATTCTTGATATAGTGCTTGTGCATTAAGATATCACAATGGGAATTGACATTGGCTCAAACTTGTGTTTGGTTGTGGTTCATCATCCCAGGTATCGAACTAATATTCTTTTCTTAGAATGACCCTAAAAATAAATGCATTCCAAAAAGTAAGTCCAATGTGCCAACCAGGGATGTTGGGCAGAAATTGACATATCATATAATTGCACCTCCATACAAAAAGCTCTACTAGGCAATAAATGATCAAGCTGCAGCAGGCTGTATAGGATTTCTTGCTGCTAATATCAACTTAATCAGCCAGATATTGTTGAGTTCCATTAATTTGCAGTAGACACTTTGAAGTATTTCTTTTAATCCTCTATCTAATTTCATTAAATCTATTACAGATCTAGGAGTGCCATTAACCATAAGTGCTGTTTTACTTGATTCAAAACATTACCAAATTGAGCCATTTTTCTTGATTTCTTCTTCAAACAAATGCCTTCTATGAATGCTCTTAGTTTTTCAACTTGTCTGTGAGCTGTCACTTGTTTTGAAGGAAACAAATCAGTTTGCACTTCCCACATATCAAAACATGGGAGCTAGCTTTCTTAATCAAACCTTGTAAGTGGAAATAATGGAAGCTGTATCTGATGATATGCATCATGAAAAGATGTGGGAACCTTAGAATGAGATTTATGATCAAGAAGGTACAGACTGCACTTTGTTTAAGATTGAGGAGAGCTATTCAATATCAATCTTCATCTCTTAATTCCAGCAAAAATGCCACAGTAGTAGATCTCTCATACTATTCATGTCCTTCTGATAATTACACGACTCTCAAATGAAGTCGACTGTTCAATCTCCTTGGCACAAGTTTCATGCGCACTGAACAACACCCAGCACAAAGCTGGAAGAAAGTCGAACTCAACGGTTCATCTGTGACTGCGCCTGTTCCTGCTTGGGTTCAGCTGCCTCCTCAGATCCGGAACTCTGCTTCATGGCCGCAACCTTGAGCAGGTGGTTGTAGCTCCCCTTCTCCTTGAACAACTGCGCGAAATGGTGCTTGCAGTAGATGATGCCTTCGAGCGCAGCATAGGACGATGGCGTAAGCTTGCAGCCCCCATGAGAGCATTTGAAGCAGGTCTTGTGGTAGGATTCGCCTTCCACGGTCAGCTGCCAGAACGAAGATTAATGAATGAGCTTGTGAATGTCTCAAAGTTATTGCACTCATGGTATCATGCAGACCTTCTCTAAAGGGTATGCTGTTTTGTGGCAGGTCGCACACTTGTCTTGGGTTCCTGAGAACATGGAGGAGACCCTGCTTGCAGGTCTGGCCTGTGAGCATCATGATCGGAAGAGATTTAACTTCATTATTAGCGAAGGAACAAGAAAGGACTTGAGGAGAAGCAAGGGTAAAATAGAGACTTGTTCTTCGTACCAGTTCATTTCTCTCTCCAGATTTTGCACCTTCGATCGTAAAAGCAATGTTAGGCCAGAAGAATGAAGGCAAATCCAACAAGAAAATGCTGTTAAGCATGCATGACACCATTGTTGGATGACGAATTGTGGAATCACAATCATTATAATCCTAAAATGCTCTTAAAATGCTCTTAAGCAGCATTTTAGATCATTTGAAATGGATTCTGATGGGGATTTCCTTTCCACATTTCCCCCAGAAAAAGGGGAAGGAATCAAGTGGGCGGCATGCATGGAATAAGATGGTGACTGCCTACCTATTGGGAACTTCTTGGTGAAGCTGCCTGTCTCCTTGAAGAGCTGCTCAAAATGGGGTTTGCAGTAGAGGATGCCATCCAGGGAAGAGTAATTGCACATCTGTGAGAATTATGCAGAAAGAATAAATCAGTTAACAATTTCTTATATTGTTGTCGTAGTGAAAGCTACAAAGGACCAAAAAGAGATCTCTCTCATATTCTTGAATCATCACACTCTCACCAAGGTGTTACAATCAACCACCATAAAAAAAAGGGAACATCTTGTAACAAAATTATTGCCATTATGCTTATTTTTGTGTGAATGTAACATCAAGACAACTACACTGGCAGGTCAACAATCATCTTTTGGTCATTGTTTACATAAGTTCAAAGGAATAGGTGAAGATTATCCATCAATGAAGCAGTTCATATGTCTCTTGCAGGGTGAGAGTTCAAACTTACAGAAAGAGTCCCTTTGCAGCGGCTGCACTTGAAGCAAGTCTTATGAAAAGGAACTCCATCCGCGGTCAAGAGATCGATGAAATGGACAGTCTTGTCGCATGCCTTGCATTTGTCCTGGGTACCACTGAAAGACATGGTGATGATCTACACAAAATTTTAAGTGTATGGCAATTTCCCCAGACACACCACAAGAGCAGATACAGCTTAGAGAACACAGGAATGAGTTTGTAGTAGCTCTTGTGATGTATCTTTCCCTTCCTCTTTTGTCTGCAAAGGAGGGAAGCAAATGAAGGGTGAAAGAATGGGACAGAGGAGAAGAGATCACCGAAGTCAAGCTTTTAAAGAATTAGAAATAGGCCTTGATTTGGTGAAGAAAGATGGGAGCAGGGGAGGAAAGGTAGGAGAGATGCAAGCTCCAACCCACAGACCCAGTCAAACAGGTGGGAGGGGAATGGCCTTGGATATCCAATCTGTCTGTCTATGCTAATATGAGGAAACCTGGAACTCTTCATTGATAATCTAATTTGACTGTGTCATAATCACAAAATTCCTATGTAGCATTTTCATTATATATATATATGTATTTGTATATCTCACCTCATCAAGATCATGCATGTAACCACTGTTCAAAATAATTATAATAAAAGCCATTCAGTGACTATTGAGGGATCCCATGTTGTTGTGTGTTACCACATTGCACCATGTTGTAAATAATACATAAAAAAATCAACATATTTTTCATGCAGGAAGATGCAGATTAAGATAAAGAACTAATAAACTACTAGAAAAGACTTATTTCAGTGATATGTTTCTAGTGCATAATTTTGTCATTGAAAAGCACCTTTTGTCAAATCACTGAGAAAAGAATTGAGATCCTACGATACTAGGAATTAGATTCCTCAATAGTGAAAATTGAACTTGATTATTCCAAGACAAAGAATAGGATCTGGGAATAGACTACGATTCTTAAGCTAAATTGTCTTATAAGAATAACCCAGAGTTTGACTGTGAAGATGTCACAAACAGATAATGTAACAGTATGAGGCAATTGTGATCAACATTGTGTAGCATCTAGACAAACAGAAGATATCCAGTTTACATTAGCTTTTTAACAATGCAAAACTTGACAACCTTGTCTTGGAAGCATGCATGGAAAGTATAGTCCAATGGATCTTTAAAGTTATTTCCTGTATAATTATATAAAGTGGCACCTAACAGGAATGTGACATTCTCTTCATCTTCATCAATGTCTTGTCACATGATGCATCCTGGAGCTCTTATCATTGGCACCTAAACAAGTAATAATTGAACATAGAACCAATATAAAAAGACCATGCTGTACAGACAAACATTCTCTCTTGTTTTACAGCAGAACTGTATCTGCATGGGACTAATATTCTTTGCCTGGCAGCTAAACCAGAGCTATCTGTAGAATGTAATTTTTTTTCATGATCAGTTTCATATATGTTTCATACCTACCTAATTCTCATGATGCATAAGTTCTAACTATCATGTTTGTAATAACATCAAGTTTAGTTATTTTCCAGCAAATTTGATAATATATTTATTTACTACCATGGACATAACACAAGCTACTGAGCATGCTGGATTAAAATGAACAAGAACTTCAAATTTAACACTCGAGTTGGATTAACCATTTTGCTAAAATAATGTTGTCCAAAAAGATTCATGGACAAATTATGCAGATCTGATGGCAAAGCCAACTGCATGCTCATATTGTTCTTAAGTTTCAGGACCACTATAAACATGAAAACACTGTTTATCATTTGACTGCCTTAGTGATTCTTTCATGGTTCAGCTCTTTCCTTCTTGGTCATATTTTATTATACCAATCTTGGGTTTAGCATAATCCAATTCCAAGGTATGCTCTCATCAGCCCTTTCCTATTACTATGTTGTATGTACCTAATGAATTAAGTGATGTGAGAAAAGTACACCATGATCTCATTCATGGCCTGAAGATTATTCTGAATCCTTCTCAATGCACAGACACTTATGTGTCATTATTCTGTTCCAGTCATAATTTTGTGGTAAAGAGAAGTGCAATAGCTACTAGAGATCCAGGAAATTAGTAGAAAATAATACTGAATTCTTAATGTTCTTCTTACAATCCATTCTGTATATATAACTGGTAAATAACAGCATTGTAAAACCAGTAGAAATGTATTTTACTTCTTGTTGATTTCTTTATCAAAAGAATCTCTATATGTAAATAACATTACTTATCCATTGCAATTACTATTCTTAATATCAAATCAGTATGAAGTTTTTTTCCTACCAGTTATCCAAGATCCATGAGGGTAAGAAATTTCTGACAAATGAACAACGTCTGAAGTATTGAGTTTGCTCATTCAAACAATGAAAGAGAAGAAAATTTTGTGTAATTTCAATAAAGCATAATTCAACTATAGCAAGAAGGTTGTTTAAGAAGACCTGTCCAATGTGCTTTTAAGTCATAAACAAGGATAGAATTTTCTATCAGCCCAGACAAGGTTAGCTTTATCGGTCAAAACCGATATCTTGATCAGTCGACTACATGGTATGTATCATTCTATATCAATGTACTATGTGTTGTAAAACGGGGGAAGACACAGAAAAAAAAAGTCAAAAATAACTCTAAATTTTTTTTAAAAATAAAAAAGTTAGATTCAGATTTTCTAAGTTAAAAATAAACAAAAATTTAGTATAACTTTAGTAAAAAATAATCTAAATTAGGAAAGAATAGTGGCACATATCTTTTTCGGGTATTGAGGAATAGCTTTGTGGTATATTTTAGATCGTCCCTCCGTTGATATTGAATTATTAATAAAAAAAATAATTTAAATTATAAGATTTCTTATTAAACAACTTAAAATTTAAGATTCAAATGAATCAAGTAATCATATACCAAATTCTATCATAAAAAAGAATGATGAGACTCAACGAGCGGTGGATTAGGATACTCAACCCTATGTATCTATATATCAACTTGATATGTTTGTCAGATCCAATCCCGAAATTGATCCCACGACATAGTATACTAATACATCATTTGCTATTGGAGCATCAATGTGGTGATGGTTATAGTCTAATCATCATAAACCACATATGTCTAAGGTAGGTCCTAAAAAAATTACAATTGTGGCATATATTGGTGTGGACCATGGAGAATGTTGGAACTTTTACTTTCACCATTGATCTGCTACCCCATATCATAAAATCAATCACCATACTATTGCTCAGAGAAGAATGACCAACTATCACCGTACTACTGCTCGGAGAAGAATAACTATCACATCATGCTTCATGATCTAAATCTTGGTTGGTATATGTAAAATACTACTCTTTGATCCATACACCACTCTCAAATTGTGTAGACGGGATCATCAACTCTTCGACGTCATCACCATCATCGGTCGAGGCACTATTGTCCATGTCACTCCCATGTCTCCAGATCAAGCAAGTTGCTGAATATAATTGAGAAGTTGTCTACGTATATTTGATTAGAGAGCTCTTCCTCTAACTTAGGTGTTAATCTTTCCTAATTAGTCTTCCAAGCTTGATCTAATCTATAAATCGTAACTTAATGAAGTTTTAAAAGAGTGCAAATGTGAGAATGAGAGAAAGAAGAAAATGATAAAAGAGACTGAAAGAGCAAAGGGTTTGAGAGAATGAAAGGAGATGAAAAAAAGGGGAGGAAAGGGTTTAAAAACTTTTTCAAATGGATCTGACCGTTGAAAGGGTTAGATCTATTGGACCAGTATGTATCACCCGTGTTGGGTGATATACTATGGTACGACAAACCCTGAACCTACTTACATAGACTATTTTGGATGCTTGTTCATTTTTCCAAAGGTTAGGTGATTAATTACTCTCGAATTCATGCATGAATACATAATAATGTGTGAGTGCATTGATTCTGAGCGGCTTTTCTCCAGAACATGCAGAAATAAGAAATTATAAAAAGAAAGTTATTCCATTTAGAGATTATGCTGTCACCTAATTCTTCTATAGGAAAACCAGAAACCAAGGAATAAATATTTGGAGATGATTAAAGGACTGTCTTGACTATTGTGCCTAATTCAAATAGATAGCTTTTATGTGTAAATTAAAAAATGAAGGGAAAACACAGATAAATGAGTGTGTTTGTTTGTAGATGCCACCTAATTCTTCTATAAGAAAACCAGAAACCAAGGAATTAATATTAGGAGATGAATAAAGGATTGTCTTGACTATTGTGCCAAATTCAAATAGATAGTTTTTATGTCATGAAAATTAAGAAATGAAGGGACAAAACAGATAAATGAGTGTGTTTGTTTGTAGATGTTCCAATGAAAGTGAATTTCGAAATCAGCATAAAAAAAGTGAAATATCATGTTCATCTAATAGACAAAAATCATTAAGATTTTACAATTTTCTAAAATGTTAAATATTGGATCTTTACAAGAAACATTTTCAAAACTGACAGTATAGCAGATGGTGGATTAAGAGAAATAAACTACCATTGCATTGTAAGAGTACAGTTTCTTTGTGTACTTTTGCAAAACTTCAATGTTAATATTATAAAATGGTCAGCTGTTAGATTGATCAATATATAAATAGATTCTGTACCTTTTTTATCTCCTAAAACTGGAAGAGTTCTTCATCCGTACAGAAATTTACTTTTAAAACCATATCTGCATACTAAAGACCATCCAATATTAAAAACGCCTCTAAATAAACAAAAGGAGTTGTTTTCTATCTAATATTTCATGACTGAGTATCATGGAACTAATTTGCATTTTTCATTTTTGCAAATCATGATAAATATAAAAATCATGTACAATCTAAAATTTTCATACAGTGCATAATAAATAATGTTTTGGTACAAATGTTATCTGTAGAGAATGTCAAGTCTTGCACATCTTTTTTCTGATTTAGAAGATATTATCTTAATAAATTGCATATGTTTTGCTCCCTCTTGATCCAGCTGATTTTTGGGCTATTCCCATCTTGAAGCAAAACAGTTTCTAAATAAAGTACAGCAGTGAATTATTTTCCAATTTAACGTAACTGATGACATGAAAAGGATAAGCAGCAAAATTGCTACAAAAAAAATAGATGCTATAAGTTATTGAGGACACCAATTGTTTACAAAATCAATAAATAGTTAGCACAAGTAATGGCATATAAAAGTAGGCACAATTTCAAATTAAAGTGCTTTGACCTAGTCATATTACAAAGAGATAAAAAAAACTCTCAGATACAGATTATAATAACAAATCTCTGATGTGTTAGTGGCCCATATGCTTATAAATTTGTAGCACATATGGACAGCAGATTAAAGTAATGAATGTCATCAACTTCAAAGTGCTGACAGTATGTTCACAAAGAAATGATGACATATAGAATTGAATGTTATAATTTTGCTTTCATAGTAAAAGGAAAGACATATTTTGTTATTCCAATATAATAGTCTCCATATGAGGACAAAAAGCTGAGACCAAGCACAGAGATCAATTGAACCATTCTAATCTTTTTTAGCCAAAGGATCATTATTCTTCCTGCTATGATCAGCAAAAGCTCCTAAATATATGTAAACATTATCAATGACCAAGTTGACACAAATATAGCACTCAACTAAAAGAGCACTAAGCATTTTATATGTGCTAAACCTATGGTTTTGAGGCCTGTTGTGGAATGAAGAATCATCAAAGCTGTGTGTCCCCACGGTGGTTGATAAATGATTATAGACATTGCTCCCTCAAACCATTACTTAATCAATGAAAAAAATCTTAGTATTAAAAACAGCACAAAGAAGTCTGTCACTATTCTTAGTCAGGATTTCCATCTTATGTAAATTGCTTAAAGAATAACACTTTTATTAAGTTCTCCAAGCTAAACTCTAGTTTCTTTAAATCTCAGAAGTCTGCTGCCTATTGCACCAAAGCCAACAAGCCATCAGCTGAGTTCTTTTGCAGTCCCCTGGACTCTTTAAAAGCCAGTCAATGGTGGCTTCTAAGAATTGCCTTGTAATGGGGTGCAAGGCTTGTGAGAAGCCAAAGGTTAGTTATAAGAAAGGGCTGTGGTCACCAGATGAGGACCAGAGGCTGAGGGACTTTATCCTTAAGCATGGCCATGGTTGCTGGAGTTCAGTTCCTGCCAGAGCTGGTAAGTCATTGCCACTTGCTGTTAAGATTACTCTGCACCTGCCTACTTCTATCCAAAGAACATGGGCATCCTCTGCTTGAAGAACACTTATATTAGTCACATTGTGTAATTAACTAGCCAATTTGCTTAAGGATGTTCTGATGATCGTTATAGGGCAGAAGAACTGGTTGTTTCTTCACCTGTCTCATTTCCATCCATGTATTGTACTTGATAAACGCACTATATTCTTACTGTGTGTTTGCATCTAGTAATAACACAGAAAGGTTCATCATAAAACACTTCTATATTTTCTTCTTTTTGTTTCAGCAAGAGGCAAAGTCAAATGTAGCAGCTAAAAAAAAATCAAATTTGCCAGATTAGAACAACCTGTATGCAACAAATAACCACATCATTTTTTCTGTTCTAGGCCTGCAACGAAATGGAAAGAGCTGCAGATTGAGGTGGATCAATTACCTGAGGCCAGGACTAAAGCACAGTGATTTTACTCCTGAAGAGGAGGGAATAGTTATGAAACTTCACACCCTTTTGGGCAATAAGTAAGTTTTCAGATCAAGAACTGGATGGCATCTTTCATTTCAACCTTTTCTACAGAAGTCAGAACAGATTATTATTCAAGATCATCTTTTTACAGAAATATATTAGCAAAGTTGACTTTTCAAGATCTTGCTACCAGTGCACTAAAATATGCCAAGAAAATGAATGAGTTTTGGCACTATCCGTCAACTTCTTTAGATATGTCTAGACTTCTGGTATAAACCAAGAACATATTGGTGCGCATGTCGCTTCTGGTGGTTGGACAATGTTTGATATTTCATCTGGTTATATTAATTGTTTGGCAATTCTAATTGAGTCACATCTTGCACTATAAGATATTGTCATTCATATTCTTTTGTAACAGTGGTTTTCTATATTCGATCGATAATAAAGTGGAAATATTTATTTATATTGTTTTCAATTACATGCAACAGAACATCTTTTTTTATTCCTTTATTTTTCTTTCTTGAGTGAAGGTTTAAGGCAATTTTGACAATGGTATCTCAGGTGGTCTCAAATAGCAATGCATCTACCAGGAAGAACTGATAATGAAGTAAAGAACCATTGGAACACCCATCTCAAGAAGAAACTGGTAAAGATCGAAGGATCAAGCTCACATGCCTCCATGACCAAATCTCTAGAATCAGACAGCCAGTGTCCAAAACTGGAAAAATTAATAGATGAGAACAGTAACCAAATCTCACTTTCAGAATCCTCAGATTCATTGAAATCAGTGTCCCCAACACCATGCCGATCAATACATGTTACCAACCATGCCCCCTTCCCTAAAATCCTATTTGCAGATTGGTTACCAATGTTCCGTGGCAATGACCAGAGCTCATCAGCTCCAGAATCTGATAGAGTGAACTGGCAACAGGAATCGACTCTAAACTCTGAGGTTCTTAGTCCTAAACTTATGCAGTTTGACACGATATTTACTGAAGTTTTCCTTCATGGATTTGAAGATGCAAGCATCTGTGGAGGATTTAAGCTACAGTTTGAGCCCGTAGAACAAATTTTTGGTTTCCATGATCAAGCTTACACCGGTTTGGAGCTGAACCATGACATGTTTGTTAATCTGTAGGTGAAGGTCATATATGTTTCAAAATTCACGAAATTTTGTATATAAGACATTGCTATGTAGTTGATCCTATTATGAGGAAGCACTTTTACTTGTTTATTTCATTTTTTCTTCACATGAACCTGATGACATGCCCTTGTTTGTTCCCTTCTCAAATAAAAAATTGTCAGCATCAGTAGCTAAACTGGTTTGTTGATTGTTCTTTCTTTCTTTCTTGCGAAGTAGTTGAATTAATTCAAGAATAGGATAAAGGATGAGCATATGCCTTTTGCATCATTCCTATCCTCCTTAGCAAGCTACAATCTTTTTCTCAAGCCATACTTACTAGGATAGCTTTAATTCGTTTACTTTATCCATGGACCATGATCAACTCAACTCCACCTATTCTAGGGTTCCATGTTTCATCATTATGGTCTACTCATTCTGTCTTTCTTAGAATAGACTACTAGTAGGAGAACTATCTTCCTAAATTCTAACTACAAAGAACCATAAGGAATAAATAGATGGAAGTGCTATACATGGATGCAAAATATTCCAGTATGCTAATGGCCTAAGAGAAAGAGCCAATTATCTGATGTTGACTCACCAAAGTAGCAAGTTCTTTTGTTCAGAATACCAGAACATTGAAACCCATCTTGTATTCACTGGAAAATGCAGATCTCATGTAGTATTTGATCAATCACTGTCAATTGCATATGCAGGTTATTTTTTAACACCAACTATCTACAGTTTTGTATCCGAGTCAAATGAAATCTCCTGAGCTTGTTGCTTCATGGGAGATCATAAGGCATGACCTAAAGACTCTTCTGGATGAATCCTATAGGGAATCTTAATCAAGCTTTTTTTGCTCTGAACGAAGAAAAGGCATGCAATGCAAGTGATCTTGGATTATCAGTGTAAAATCGGTCTTTTAGAGGTTGTTTAAAGGATTTTTTCTCTTCAGATCAATAACCAAATGACTGATATCAGTTTCTCCAGGACTCGATTATTTGTAGGTCCTCTATTTGTTACAGTTTCATGGCAATGCAGTTGTTTTTCTTCTGTCGACTCATGCTTCTCTACTTCTCTTCCTGCTTTTCCATCTTCTCCTTTTCTTTTTGTACCCATTCCACTTTGAAATGAAAGGGATGTTGCTAAAGTAGCAGATGAAATGGAAAGAGCATTACACTGGATAATTTTTTTTTTCTTTCAGCTAAAAGCACTGACAGTAAAAGGAAAAGAATAATAACACATAAGAGAACTCACATTTGGATTAGTTCAAACCAGCTGTAGGGAAGAAGACTTGCAATTCTCAATCTCTGTCAACATTTCTCCACTTGTTCTACATTGGTCTGTAAAAGATGCTCCCAAAGGATAATAGACTTGAGGTCCAGACAAGTGTAATGTGGGAAGGGGACCATGTTCCATGATTGCAACATGCACATCCCTGTTCTTGGGTACCATGAACAGTACGACCAAGTCCACACTCTGCTTCTTTGGCAAGTAAGTGGTGGCAAGAATGATGAAATCACATTGCCATTGTGAGCACTTCTGCAGAGAAAGGATAAAAACTATATTAATGTAAAATTTGAAAAGAATGAAAGTATACAAACTTAATTTTTAATACTTCCCTTGAGAAATTTCTTAAAGCTCATCTTCCTTGTATCTCACTTATATTCTATAATAATACTATGATAATATTAAGTCATATATATATATATATATGACACTTCCCCAGCCAACACAAGGATTCAACTCTCAAGCTAACATAATAATTCCTTATTTCCTAGTTTATAGCACATTTTTCAGCATCATAGCAATCTCACTTTTTTTATTGCACAGAAGCTTCTCATATTCAAAACCATCCCAGTCTCACTGTGCAAACTTTACACCATCAAGTAGAAAAGAAGACACAGAGAAAGATGACAAATGAATCTATTCCTAGATCTGCTCACTTGTCTTCCTGCTCTTCATCCCACCCATCATATTCTCCTTCTCTCTCCTTTCTTCCTCTGCATTTTCCTCCAGATTCATTCACAGTAACATACAGAGGATGACAGAGAAGCCATGACCGCGGTCTATGCAGTGACCACCCCACATTGTTCGCGAACACCATGAAGAATTGAAGGACAGATCCAAGATGTTCAAGGCAGCGCGATGGAGGGCGACCGAGAAGAACAAGAACAAAGCCGTCTTCAAGCTGCAATTCCAAGCGACTCAGGTTGGCTGGATGAAGTAATAATATCTGGCTGCTGATCTTCTGTTACAGAGACGTATTGGTTGATCTTCTGGAGATGGGTTCTGCTTTTGACATTGTCGATTTCATCAGGTACCGCAGTCAGGACCGGGAACGATGATGGTCAGCCTGGGTCCGGTGGACGCTGGCAGACCGACGGCGAGATCGGAGAAGGTGGCGGTCGTCGGCGGCACCTGCAACTGGGTGAATCCGGTTTACGAGACGGTGAAGCTTGTCCGAAATCCAACCACTGGAAAGATGGATGACAAAGTCTACAGATTTCTCCTTTCAGCTACCGTATGAAAGATTCTTCGATCGTTTCCTGATGCTCTTTCATTATGTACAATGCACAAACAATTACAGCTGATTCGTTGCGAGGTTTGCAGGGATCAAGCAAAGCTGGGGTTTTGGGAGATGTCACTGTTAACCTGGCAGACTATGCTGCGGTGTTCAATGCTGCCTCGGTTTCTCTCCCTCTCAAGGCATCAAACACAGGAACAATCTTGCATGTGAGGAGTCCCACTTTCTAAGTTGCTTGATAGGCATTGATCTCATGTGTCATCTGATACTGAGGATCAATAGAATTCACAAGTTCCTAGATGAAATATGTTCTTGTACTGTCATGCTTTCTGGATTTTCCTTTCTTCTATCGTGTTCATTAATCCTCTAACAAAGCTGAAATGGTTCAGATCATTCATGTGTCCCAAGAATCACAAGTTTTTGGATCTTTACTCTACAATCCTAACTATTCGGTTTTTGCTCGAAATGACAGATTACCATTCAGAGAATCCAGGGTGATGGTAAGGCAAGGTAACTTAAGGGGACTAGTACTTATATTGGAATAAATTGCATGACAGAAGGTAGATTTGCTAATCATTCAGTTCTCTCCAACTGTTCCCTCAGAGAAGGTGATGAAGATGGAGAAGCGATGATTAAGCGACAAACAAGAGCATCACAGAGCGAGTTAAAACTGTGTGATTTTAAGGAAGGTGTCAAAGCTCCCAATGACATGGACTGCTTCAGCTTTATGAGTGTAAGGAAAAAATTTAAAATGATTCTTATAATTCTTTTCCTCAAATCCTACCAGCAATCCACCAGCTGACATATCTTATGCTTATTTTCACATGTTTAATAGAGTGGCTAATGCATTTTTCATCTATCTGAAGATGCTATGGAATTTATGCTGTCTAAGGAGGAAAAAATAATTAGTGTATCTATTTGTGAAAATCCTTGTCAAAAAAGACGAAAAAGCTTCAAGTAGGACACTAAACACAATCGATCAAGAGTTAAGCCTAAGAGAATGCCCTATGTGGAAAATCTTGTATCGTACTTCTAGATTACCTATGATTAATGAACTTTTCCTCTAATATCGTTCTTCAGGATGGTTCATATGTTAACACTCAGTCACAAGTCAAGTTCCCATCAAGCAGAGACATTCCTATCCGTGTTGATTCCCATGGAAGCCTCCAAAAATCTCACAGCTTTGATACTATATCAGCATCAGATTCAGATACCAGTTCAGGAATATATGCAACAAGAGATAATTGGATCAAGCATAACAATACTCAAAGGGATCCTACTAGCTTCTTCTCACCTCTTATCAGTAGTGACACTCCTAAAAGGCTGATTACCAGTTCAGGTGACTGGTCTCGCACTTCAGCTCCTGATGGAAATGCAGATGCATCAACAAGAAGTTCAGGTGATGTTGTATTAAATGAAACATCATGTGATTCAGAGGACAGCCTTAAGAAATTAAGATATGATATTGTTATGTTGACAAGGAAGGTAGAACTGTCTGATCTGGAACTGCAGATTCTTCGAAAGCAAATTATTAAGGAGTGCAAGCGAGGAGAAGATCTTTCAAGGGAATTAAGTAGCCTAAAAGAGGAGAGAGACACACTTAAAAGAGAATGTGAATCACTGAAGCTCTCAGAAAAGCCAATAAAATTTGAGGGAAATATTCCTACTGGCTCACAGCATGATGGAGATGATCTTCATTCATTACTTGAGAAAACAAAACAAGAATTAGATCATGAGAAAAATCTGAATGTACATCTTCGTTTGCAACTAAAAATGATGCAAGGATCTGAGTTGATACTTGCTGTAAAAGATCTTGATACACTGTTGGAGCAGAGAAATAGGGAGCCACTTTGTCTGAAATGTAGCAAAATGTATCTCAAAACAGAAACCGGTGATGAACTAGAGGCCATGAAATTGGAAAATGGACTTCCACAACTAAAGAAATATGAATGTGAGCAGAAGTTGCATAAAAAAGTTGCCCAAAATGACAATGAAGAACAATATGCATTGGATGAACTAGTCAATATACATGATGATATGAAGGTTGCGTACTCACTCGAGAACAAAATCGTTGATCTTAATAATGAAGTAGAATTTTACATGAAGGACCATGAAGATCTAGAAATGCAAATGGAACAGCTTGCTTTGGACTATGAAATTTTGAAACAGGAAAACCATGACATCACGACAAAACTGGAGCAAATTCAACTGCGAGAACAACTCAGGATGCAATATGAGTGTTCAACACATGTAGCCATTATCAGTGACCTTGAATCTCATGTTGAATGCCTGGAGAAAGAACTTCACAAACAGGCTGAATCATTTGGAGCAGATATAGCAACCATCACAGATGCTAAGGTTGAGCAAGAGAAAAGGGCCATACTGGCAGAAGAGGCATTAAGAGAAGCAAAATGGAGCAATTCTAAAATTGTTAAGCGGCTTCAGGAGGAATTTAGAAGTCTTTCTGCACATATGTCATCCACATTTCAAGCAAATGAGAAGATAGTCAAGCATGTACTAAAAGAAACTGCAGAGCTGCGATCAGAAAAAAGCAGCCTGGAAGATCTATTGGAGAAAACTAAAAAGGATTTGGTATCAGTGCAAGAACAATTCCGCATGAAATTCAAGCAATTAGTAGACTTATTATATTTCAAATCAAAGGAGGCAGATAGGCTACTTCTGGAACTCAAAGATACTCAAAGGGAGTTTGAGAATTATAAGATGTCTGGGGTAGCAAACCAAAAGAACTTCGTAGAAGAAATGCAACTCAAATCTGAGATGGAAAAGGTCATATTGGAGAAATCTCTTCTCTCTGAGCAGAACAAAGAGAAAGAAGAATTGTTAGTTGAGATGGACCTATCAAGGACAGCAACTGAAGTCAGTGAGATATCACTGCAAGACAAAAACTTAGAAATAGATATGCTTAAGAAAGAAATAGCAGTATTAAGGAAAGAAGGAAACATATCATTGGAAGAGACGAATGAGTTGAGAAATATAAAAGATGAAAAAGATACAACTATTTCGGTGCTGAAATCTGAGGTAGCAAACCCTGGAGTGCAGTACAGTAACTTGAAGCATACCTTAAACAAAAACGAGTTAGAAAAAAAGGACCTGAGGAGATCATTTTCCAACTTGAAGGGTGGTCTTCTAGAGGAGCAACTGACTACCAGCTCAGACGAAAAAAATGGTGACAACCACACAGCTTCAATTTCAAATGTAAGGAAGCCAACACAATATTAGATTTAGTTTGGAAAGTCATGATTCCAAAAGAGTTCAAAACTAACATATCATCCCACACAGAACAAAGGCCAACCTCAGTAGCAGATAGGCAAACAGATGCAGGCATAACAAAATGCAGAAAGAGTCTGCATTTACAGCAGCAAACACATAGTTCCATGCAAGTGCATATCTATGGCCATTAAAACAACAAAAATGCACAAGCTCAACAATAAATTTGCATCAACATAGTTGCTTTTTACAATTTCTTTTAGATATCATGGATTGATTTGTATTCAAAGTTTCCTGATGTGTTTGCATCAATGACAAATTAGTTGATCCATCAATAAATGACTTCGAAGAGGATACAAGCAATGCAATTGAAAAAAAATCCAATAACCATACTGGAATTTGATAAATTATAAACTCTTGAAACCTGAGGTTTCTTATACTTAATTTGTATTACTTTATATATTAACTATAACAGCCTCTGTAAACTGATCTAATTTTATTTACCAAGATATTAAAATAACATAAGAAAGTTTATATTTTTAGAATCTATTAATTTATACAAATTAGTTTAATTGCTACTAATTAATTTATACAAATTTGTACTTTTTTAATCCAGCAAACTGTAGCTTAGAAAAATATGACTACATAGGAGTTAGTTTATATCAAAAAATTCTGTACAAGACCAAATTATTGAAAAATGTCCAAAATGATTGTGGTTGTTTTTTAATCCTTTTGAGTGCATTAGAATTGCTTGTATGTTGGTTCACTTAATTTAGATTAAAGAATCACCTAATTTCATGTTAATAAACAATAAACAGTATGTACATGATTATTGCTCGCTTAGATTTTTCAGCTAGAATTGTACTATTAGAAATAATAATGATTAAGATCAAGGAGAAATTTGTGATATCAAAGAATTTATAACTACTTGATCAGCAACATTTTGTCGCAGGATGATGAGCACTTTCATCAGAGTTTGAGATATGGCAGCAAAGATGATGTTAAATGCAGTAGAGATTACCTGCAACAGTCAGAAGACGAAACCCACACACATGATATAGATAGCAAGGATAACAAATTACGTGTGAGGTGACACTTCATATCTGCTTTCAGCCATTGGTCCTCTTAGTCTAATTTGAACTTCTAATGTAAATCCTCATTCCCCCATTGTATGATGTTAATGCCTCTCCAGGTATACAGGAAATGATTTGGATGAAGTACATCAGGTTTTCATCTCCTAAACCTATGGTGAAAAGAAGATAGCAGAATTAAGTGAAATGACAGTACTGGAAAAATAAAATGATCGGCGAAATCAAAGTTGAAAGAAGTGCAAGAACGATATTCCGAGACAAGCCCAAAGTTCGGAGAAAGTTGAAGGTGAAAGACAACAACTCAAGGCCACAATCTAGACTATTAAAGATGCTGTGAAGGATTAGTTTCTTTTTTTTCTCTGTATAATTGAAACGAATGCTCTGTACAGGCAAGTGCTTGGATGCAATACTTGGCATATCCAGGGCTCGTAAGGTATGTATAACTTCTAAGCATACAGTGCACATGGATAGCATATAATCTGTTAATTGGGTGAAGTGTTTCTTTGTTGAAATGTCATGGTTCTAGTAATTTGGCCTTTTAGTTGTACTCCTGAAAAACATAGAGTAGTTTTCTCATTTTTGTTTCAAACATGCATCATCCTGTTGTTGTGTAATACCGGTGAGGTAGAAGTTTAATTGTCATTTGGTGATATACAGAATACAGCCCTTTTCATGAGCCAAAATATTTCTCTATTTTCAGCTTTTAGTCTTTACAGGATGAAAGTTTGATGTGATGCTAAAATCCTTGATTGATGTATATAGTCACATGAATGCCACATCTCTTGAAATGAAGTCAACCTGCCCTTTCATTTGTGGATTAGGACCAGGTCTCATAGTTCCCATGTTAATGGAGTCTGCCTCATCAAGTTTCCTCTAAAGCATAACCATGTAAAGCTGGTAAACAGATTAACACCAAAGATGAGCTATCCTGCCCTATTGTCAAGTTAATGATAAATAAAATCCCTTATTATATATGAACTTAACTGTGCCTTCCTTTTTGACACTTGTGTGTGACTGGATATTTCATCTAGAAACTGCTTCACAGAGGGATTTTGTTATTTAGATGGTTTAATCTTCATTATTTGCTCATATTGAACAATTAAGACATGTTCTTTGGAAGGATCTATTGGAGCTGTTGTCCACCACACTTCTCGTAAACACAACTAAACAAAAAGATAAACATAAATTGGTGAACTTTACCCTAAATTGATGAACCAAGAATATGTTCTCCAGTCCTGCATAGAATGATTCAAGAGTTGACTGGGGCACAAATGAGGAAGATAGTGTAATATTCATATCCAGTGATGCAGCTACTTTAACAGCACTTGGGAAAGAGGAAGATTAAGATACGAACCAGCCCTGAAGTGCTTGGCCTAACTTGCTCCTCGTCACTTGGTTGGCACCACTTGCTTAGAAAGCCTATCATGATTCATCAGATAAAATATTCTCCCCCTTCATTGTAGTGGCAGCAACAACAACAAAGATGATATGTTGAACAAGGTGTGAGATAATGATTGATGTGGATGGTCGACAGATGATAAGGAGGTGGCTCTCATCAGGTTAATCAATCGGACGCTACCTCCATAAGTATTCCAACAGCCACATCAAAAGACGAAGAGGAGATCCAACCATTAGGTCAAATTTCAGATTTATTGTGATTGGAAAAAGAGAGTTCTTGAAGGCTATTAAATAATACCTTAATCAAGGAAAAATAACTTCTTAAAATCTTTGGAGATATCACTTTCTTTTTTATATTTCTTTTTTTTTTAAAAAACAAATTTATATTTCTTTTTTAAAAAATAAAGATATATAATATCGTTATATTGTTTAAATAAGGTGCGATACCGAGATGTATAGGAGATATGTCGCTCTATATCGGCTGACACGGGAGAGGACTTTGTATCTATAAAGCAGGGTGCGACGGGGGATTCTTCTCGGTACCGACACCCGCGCACAGAGCGCGGGAGTGACGAGGTGGACAGCAGGCAGGGTGATGGAAACGGAAGGGGAGCGGGAGAGGGCGGCGGCGGGGAGTCAGAGAGGGAGCCCGCAGCTCGTAGTGAACGACGATCTCCTTTAGATGGCGAAGAAGGACACCTGGCGTTCAGCTCTCGCAAAGCCCGGCAATGGCGTCATCTCCTTCCACGACGACAAATTCAACTGGAAGTTAAGACGAGTCCGATCTTTATCACACTCTTTTTCTACTATGTTTGATTTAATCTCTTCCAAGGTTCGATTTTTCTCAGCTTTTCCCAACATAAATTTGTATCGGTCGATTAAACCCCAAATTAGAGAACATAGTTTTCTTGTACGTCTCTTTTATCTGGTTCCCTTCTGTGAGTAAGATCATCATCTTTCTTTTGCCACTTTCTTCAAAACAATCGGCATCCCAACTTTCGGTGGAAGAAAGAGCCGCCCAAAACGTGAATTTTCTGGATTTTTTTGGTAAAGGATTGGGGAAGAAGATGCAAAGTTTCAAACTTTTTCCCCTTAAATGCGAAAATGTGTTCATCAATTAATAGATTCCTCTAGCTAAAATAGAAATCCTTTTCTTGTCGGTTATAGCGGGGGCGGCTGATGATTAGCTTGTTTATTTTTTACTTCACCTTCACTCCCTCAAGACAGAGAACTAAAGTGGAGATCCATGTCATTTTTGTCCAAAAGAATTCATCACCTATTCAACTGTAAGGAGTCTTAGAAAGTATGAAAATTGAAGAGGTAGCACCGTTCCATGATACCTTTTGTTGCCAACACATTGAACAACAAGTTTTGCATGTTAGACTTGCCTTCTCTCGAGAACTGCAGTAACTATATGTATATATTACATCATTTCAAATTAGCTCATGAGTCCAAATTATTGTCCATCTTTAGCTTTAACATGATCAAATATGCCTCTTTCCTAGAAGATGTCAACTTCTATGATCTTTCGCAAGCTTGGACCATTGCAATGGTGCAAAACCCTATTTAGTTTCTGAATTAATTCTACAGGGAACTGTTAAATCTTTTACTCTATCATTTGGTTGAATCAAGTTGATTTTATGTTGCAAGTTCTTGGTAATCTTGAATAGTGTAACTTGAGTTTTGTATAGGGAAACATAGTATGGTGATTCCTCTATCTGCATTGCTTGTTTGCCATCTATATTAACTCTAAGAAGTTGAACAATTATTTATCAACCTTTAAACAGATCGCCAAGTGAAGAAGATGATTCCAAACACCATGGTGTTGCAGCACAGAGATTTTGCTAGGGTAAATGTTCAAGTATGGATGACCATATTGTATTAATAATTGCCTTTGATATACTCATTCAGATGCTTCACTTCTGCATGTTGCTGTTCTACTATTGTTCGAACGACATCTACGATTGAGATCATGCCAACTACCTTCTTGTCAATTACTGGCATGTGACGAATATGATGGTCTGCCAAAATAGAAGATCACATGTATCATGTATTTGTTAAATTCTTACTAAGTTTTGGGAGGAATCCATACAAGTAAGAATCAAATATTTACCTATCATTAGCTGCATAGCTTTTAGAATGTTTGTATCGGAAGTCACAGAAATGAGTTTGTTCTGTAACACAGCAAAAGATAATGTTAGAAGACCAAGAAATAGGAGCAACCGTCCGAGTTCTAAGGAAATGCAAGCTTACGTGCAGTGCAAGATTATACCTCATCAGTCATTATTTCCCCGACTCTTGTTGCTGTGGAAGATTTTCCTTGCACAATAATTTTCCGTAGATAATCTGTAACAAATGTGAATTCAGAACAACAAAATGGAGAATCACTTTGATTTGAACCGAAGTTTAAGGTTCCTGTTGTTACTTCTTCTCTGTCCTTGTCAGGGGATTGATTTATTTTGTAATGATTCTGAGTTATGTGATGGTACACATTTTGCAGACTTGGATAGTATATTTACAATATAACTCGAATGTCTCTATGTCCTAGGACTTATCTTGTCATATTGGGATTTGCATCATGTTTTGCTATTTCACAATAATTTTGTAGCCCTTGAAATGTTTCTCATGATAACTGATCATCAACTAAAGGCAAGGGTTTTGATTTCAATATTTTGGATTACTTGGTGGTCAAACAAGTGAATTCTGATTACCTCTCTCAGTGACAATACCAGCAAGCAGTTTTTCATCCTCTGGCTTTATCACAACCAAGGCTCCAATATTGTGTTGTGTCATCTGCAAATTAAATTTTCAGCTGGAAGTGTTATTGCGATGCATCAAATTAGAGTGTTGTATGTTATGACATCTAACAAAATTGAATGAGTTAATACATTCTGTACTGCATCATAGACTGTATCACTCGTGCGACACCAATATACTGCTTCTTTTTCTTCTTCTCCCTTTGCTTTCAGAAGCTCATATACTGTTATGTTCTCCAATCCTTTATGTGGTATCCTAGGAGTTGAAATAGCAGTCTCAAAACGTGTGACTATGTTAGGCCAGTAAAAGCCATCCGTGAATCTGAGGTGCTGTAGAACTGCATGTTTGAGCCGGTTTCCATGGGCCTGTATTGCTTTAACTACTCCTTGCATTACCTGTTGGTGCATCAAATGTAAACTCAGTGGTAAGATTTGAATGATTTCTTGGTTATGGATTACTTATGGATGATTTATCTGTAGCCTTGTCTAACGAACAGGAGTAAAGACAAAGTCTACCGATCTGGAAATTCAGCTAACTGTGCCTATTTTCTTGTGTTTAGATATTTGAGACTATGTCGATCAATTATTCGTATGGATCGCCAAACGTAACTAGGATGTTGGTTATTCAAAATTTCATCAATGCTTTGAAAAACTAGAGCAAGGAGAAAGTCGGACTTAAGTTAGCAAATCTGGAATGTTCTGCTAATCCCTCCATGCAACATGATGAGTAACCAAGAAGGAATTCACGGCGACTTTGGCTTGATGATAGTGAATTGAAATATGATGTTTTTTATGCCTGTGTTTGTGACATGAAATTTTATGTTTGCAGGCATGAGCCTTTTGTTCATCTAAGCCTCTCAAGTGAAAAAAAATGCAATATGCTGCACTGAACAGGTGAGTTGAATTAGAGACATGTTCATGCTGAGCATCAAATAGACACTTTCGATGAGGTTTGTGTAGATGGCCATCAGACTAATGTACTAAACCTTGTTATTACCTTGATTCAGGAGGGATAGCTGCAGCTGGTGAGGGTACCAAATTGGTATATGTGCCTGCTCCCCTGGCAGAGGTTGTGAAGGCCATGAAGCTTCTCTCATGGATGTTTAAATGCCTGGAGCAGAGTCATATGTGTTGCAAGAAGGCATGTCTTACACCCTCTTTGCAGGAACTGGTTCTTAGCCTTTCCCTTGAGGTAAAATTTGGAATCTCCATCCCTGCAAAACTTCCTTTCTCTTTGAACAATTTTCAATGTCATGGCTGCAGGTTTCTTCACACCGACGTGTGGACGAAGCAAAGCAGGCAAAGTCGGGGTTTGAGCCATGGAAAGGATCTTCATTTTCTCGGAAGCTTCTACTTTGAGCTATGTGGTCGTTATATAAAATGGAAAAGTGTCCTCTCGATATCAATCAATATTAGATGTTTTTTTTCATATTTTCTTGGATAATTTTGTGCTTGGCCTTTGTTACTTGTATAACCACAGGAGTAATGAAACCCAATTACTATAAGAAGTCCCCAAAGTTTGTTGTCTGCTATCTAAATCTCATAAGGAGATTCAGTAATAAATTCTCGAGACCAAAAATGATAACGATCCATAATCTGTTAAGAGCATCCAAGTACTGTCCAAAGATAATGTGTTCTGACGCATCTATAAATCTTCTATCATGCTTTTATTCTATTGTTTTAAGTCTTATAATTAGTAATTAAGCTTTACAAGTAATATATATTATTTGTTTCAATCTTATGTTTGTTTGGTGGTGAAAATTTTCTCATTCGTCAAAACTTTTATTAAAAAAGGATATCGAGTCGATGGTTTATCGAACGCAAACTTCATATAAATAATCAAAATAATTTTAAAGTTTAAAGGAATCCAAGATTAACAAATACTCTTCAGATAAGTAGTCGAGATTTAGCTCGATTATAGGTTATGCGGTGATATAGATACTTTTTCAGATGACTCTGCGATGCACGGCATGGCATCAATCCCTTTCCCCAAGAAAAAGTTGTGTCATCATCAATTCAAGAATACCAAGAGGGAGAGGAAGCCAGCAATCAGAACAACCACATCTCCTCCATCCACGGCACTCTTGAAACTTGGTTCAAGTGCTGTCATCAAGATTAAACCCCATCTCTGATCATACGAATCAGCTTCTGTAGTGTATGTACTTTGATTGATGCTTAGCACAGGTTGGGCATTGAAGATGGTAATTAATTTTGGTGTGGTCTCTGAATTGTTTAGTTAAATTACAAATATAAATGGCTTCAGAGACAAGAGAAAGCTGCATTCATGATATGGAAACTCGATGAAGAAAGTGAGGGAAGGCAACACAGTACCACATTCTTTAACATGGTTAATAGCACCCGATCTCATCACATCACAAATGATTGACCAACAATTCGATTGTGGCAGATTTATAGAGCTCTTCCTTTTATGATGTCGATGCTCATCTCACTGGGATCGGTTGCCTGTAGCTCCACTTGAATGCCATCAAGCTCCCTCTTGAATCTGTCCTTGGAACTGGCATACAGCATCTTGTTCCTCACCCTCGAGGTATCAGGAGACCTGCTTACAGCAAAAAAATGGCATAAACACGCTTGCAATTAATTGCTTATGAGTTGACTCCGTATATCATGCAAATTGCATGGTTTTTTGTGATTCTACTCGCGTTTATTCTGTTGCTGGTTCGCGGAAAAGGATCACCAGTTGTCCTCTGAGTTCTAATGACTATGCTTTTGCCGTAAATCTATGGCAGTTATGTGCTCGATGTGCCAAACACACACCCACACACACACCCCGCACAACATCCGGCCATGTCTTGTGGATCATTCTGCCTACCAGGAAATGAAGAAGATCTTGCTCTTTTGGCAGTTCTCGTCGGTGATGAAGTCGAAGTCGAAGACGGCGTAGCGGCAATCGTCGTCCGGCAGGGATGCCGTCAAGTCGTCGTAGCTCTCCCCAGGCTGGCCGAGCCTCTCCACCTTCACCTGCTGTATCTTCTCCTCGATCTTGAAGACGATGAACCGGAAGTTCCTCTTGGCCTTGAGTTCCAAGAACTTGAGCTTGCACTCATCGCTCACCGCCATTCCCGACGCCGAATTCGCCTTGGCAATGCACATTGAGATCGTGATCAGTCATCGGTACAAGAAACAACAGTTGGTAATTCTCGATACACGTTCTACTCGACTTCATCAGTACAAGCAAAGCCTTCATTAATGCTAATGCTCTCACGAGAGGTTATACGAATGCATTCGGAGTATGAAGAAGGAGAGAGGCAGATGAAGGAAGATAGGCTCACCATGGTGTCCTGCCGATGAGGGATGAGCCAGCCCCAGGGGATAGTGAGGAAGAGGAAGGAAAAAAGGAGTGAGTACAGGAGAAAGAGGGAGAGAGAAGAATAAATGATCCTTGGAATGAGGAGAAATAGATGGCTGTGGAGGGAGGAGGGAAAGGTGGGAGAGGAGAGAGTTCGAAGACCATCCGCAAAGCACTTGCATGCTGCCACATCCACGGCGGTGGCCGATGAGTAGTTTGCCCTTTGACCAAACCTTTCGCACACACTATACATATATAATGTACACATTCGTATATAATCTAAGAATTGATGTGCACAATCTTACCTCGTAACAAGTTCAGATTTTTCCGACATGATATTGTTGATACGGCATTCCATGAGCTGTGATGCATGTCACGATTTATAATAATAATGCCCAATGAACGACACTGCAACAAATGAAAAATGACATTAGATGATGAAGTTGGTGAAAAAATTGCAGTCCCCAAAAAACAATAACTGGATGCAGCTGCTTAAAGTGAAATCAGACTTCTTCTTCCAGTGGGAATACAGGTTTAATAGCTATTCACCAACTCCTCGAGAAATAAGAGGAAAATAATTTCATAAGACCCCAGTCCTGTGGTTTGATCGGTGAAGAACATTAACATTCACATTTCCAACTTTTAACACACAATATAAGCAGTATGTTCGGTTGGGACACTGCATGCACAATGCACATAAAACTTGGAACCCACAAGAATATGATAACTGAAGAACAACTTATACGTCTTCGGTAAACCATTCATTACATTCGTGAAAGAAGTAGACTCTGTAGGACAACAAAGATGAACCAGACATCCGATATTGCTATATTCATACAAACTTCAAAGTGAGCCTTAAAAGACAAAAAAAAAAAAAAAAAAACCAAAGAACCATACAAAAACACAAGTACATTTTCGCCTCCCTTCTAGAAGGATATGGTTTCAAGATTCAGTACTTGAGTTCCGAAGCCATTCTTTTTGTTCAACATTTATGAGCTGAATCTTTCTTTGTTGGTTCGCTAAACCAGTCACGGCGGAGGAGATGATAAACTTTCTTTGGAGTAGAAATTTAGAGACAAATACCTTTTTCTCGTATTTACAACACGGATTCCTGAACAGTCTTAGATGATGTTGACAATCCTGGTCCTTCCCTCTGATGGCTTCATGAGAAGCACAGGCAACTTTTGCGGTCAGCTTCTTTTCAGATCTCATGATCCTGATTACTAGATACAAGTCAATGCTGTTCACAAATCCTGTCTGTGTACTGACCTTCACAAATTGTATCCATGATAACAAAACCTCCCTCAGAACTTCTGATCACACCCTTTATGTATTTTCCTGAAAGGAGAGAGATCGGGATAATGCAGCAGGATTTGCATGCAATACATGTGCAGCATCCGACTTATGCGCCTTGTTTTCAGCCTTGGACTGGAAGACACCTCCTATACAAGGCCTGATACCTAGGGCAGCCCATATTGAACTCTGGATCACCTATCCTAAGAGTCTTAGGAACCCATATGGACTTCTCCGTCTTCTCCTCACTCTGTAAAGTAGCATCTCTAGAATGCTTACCCAACATCGGAGAGTCATTTCCTGAACAACCACTACCACTTGAAGAAGATGATGAGGATATGAATCCACTGTTAGATCCAACCCATGGTATATTCCATGTTCCATTGGACCAAGTGGTGAAGCCCCAAACTGGAGTTGGCATGAGAAAGAAAGGAAGTGTTGCCGCCATCATTGCTCTGGGACTCGATGGAATCGGATTTGGAGAGCCATTCCCTGGTCTACAAGGATATTCAGATGAACATCTACCAGCTTCCATGGCAGCAACATTGCTCCAAGCTGGTCTCCATGGGTAAGACCAGGAGGACTCAGGATAACACTGCAACTGAGTCAGAGGTGCAAGACCATTACAGTAAACATGCATGCCACTTTGCTGCTTGTGAATTGCATTTTCAGCAGATCCATTTTCCAAAATATTGGAGGCTGCTGCAGAAGATGCACGGGAAGGTTCCTCCCTGCTTTCTTGACATATTGTGGAGCCAGAATCAGCATGTCTGCCTTGCTTTCTGATATTGAGCACAGTGGCCATGGGCTCACAGAGAGGGACTTCTTGACCAAATTTATGGATAGTCCCATTTCCAATCAGAGGTTGTGAAGGGGTTGCAGGCACACACGGGAGAGCTCGCTGATGAGTCAAGTCAAGAGTCTCTAGTTGAGCAGATTGTAATCCATTTGATGGAGTAACTAAGTTATGACCTTGTGATGCTCTTCCTCTTGCGCCTACCAGCACCAAAAGGGACATTCCTCATTGTTCCTCCAGCAGTCCAATATCTCTGACAATTCTTGCAGAAGTGTCTAGGCTGGTTAACATTATAGTTGTTATAATAGAAGAATTTGGTGCCCATACTATTACAGCGAGGACATGGTAGAATTTTATCCGGCTTCTTGAGGACCTTTTCTGGTCCAGAGCAATCAACCTCAGTCTTGGTGTCTTCCACTGTATTTTTTACTGCTTTCTTTTCATCTGCAATGGATGTTTTACCGTCTTCTTCATTGCTACTGGTCAAACTAGATGAACTAATTGGTGAACCTTCATCCTCTTCATCAGGTGCTGCAGCTGAAATATCATTGACTTGCACATTTGTTACTTCTTTAGATGCATCCTGAAACATAATATCAAAATAATATAAATAATTATCCTGTAGAATAAGTTCAGTGGCATATTTCAGTGACCGCATCAATATCTAAAACTACGATGAAATAAAGAGACCAAACAACAAAAGCTTACCCCTAATAAAGCACAAATGAGATGTTTCAGAACCATATTTGTACAAAGAAATTCAACTAATACACACATATACATAGATTTGTGGTCAACGAATAAGATAAGCGAGATTCATTTTAAATGATACGAACATATCCAAAGGAGACTTATGGATGCACCTGATAGACAAGGTGAGTTGATTAAGATTAGTGATGCAAAAGGTAGAGCAAGATCTGAGAACACTTTATAAGAAACCATAATAAAAAGAGACTTGATGACTCTTAGTTTGCCTAAAGGTATTGCCTTCAAAAGAGCTAAATGAAAGAAAAAGATTCATGAGAACAACCCCACATAATCGGGAGATTATACATAATCTGTTGTACATCCCAGCTTCTTTCTATATTCTCTTTCCTTGCAATTTTAGATTTTTTTTCACTTCATGAATGCAAACTACAATTAGTTTCCCCTTTTAACTAGATGAAATGAATTTAAAAAATTCAATACTTTTCTCTCTTCCTCCATCTATTCCTGACTGACAATTCTGGCCATTCTTCTTAGTAGGGACCCCCTTCATAAAGTAGGATATCAATCTTGTGTCATATAAAGTCATTAAATGCTACATGCTAACATAGCACACCTGAATTATTTGGATCCACTTAAACTGCTATCTCAACAGGGCGTGTACAATACTAAAAGTTATCTCAAAAAATCTAAAGCACAAATATGTTGTCCCTAAAACTACATAGCTAAGACCCTCCCTGTGTTTTCTCTGGCAAAAAAAAAAACAAGACATCAGATACTAAAGGTTAGCTAGATAACTCTGCATAAAAGGTTTTTCTAACTCTTTCTGCAGACATTTTCCGAGTTGTATGCGGCTTTAGATCTTCCACACAACTATCTTTGACGTATTTGTTAAATATCAAGGAAACAAGAAATGGTAATTAAGCATAAGTGATCTGTAGATATCTGATTTTGTTATAGGTTATGACCTCCTTCCTCATGTAACCAAGTTTTTAATCAAGCAGGTTCAATGTTCAGGAAATGGGCGAAATACATTTACTCCTCATAAACAGACTTTTTATTATATCATCATCTTTCTTTGGCCCTAGAAACAAAGTCAAGGGGGGTAGATGGAAGAAAATTCCTTGATAAACAGACTATTCTTGTAGGAAAAAAAAAATCTACAAAAGCTAAGCTAAAACCGGATTGTCACGGACTTAGCTGGTTTTGCCTAAGTCGTGCGGCACCCTTGCGTGTTCGTCCGCAAAGGTCAGTCTCCCCGAAACCTCCCATGGTCTTTTAGGATCTACAAAAGAGAAAACGGGTTAGAAAAAGCGTCTCACTCGGGATCCACAAGCAAACATTTTCGAAAACACCTCATAAACAATGTAAATTACAAACAGACTTTACAAGCTCTGAACGGTTGCACAACAAAGGGTCAAAATGGTCCACTACAGACCGAATATCTCTCACAAGTGTCCACATGACACAACATTTATTTACAAGCCTAAGAATGCCACCAAACCCAACTAAAATGAGGCTGTTAAGCCTTCAACCGTTCCTTTACATGCTGTGCAAAGCATGAACAAACAGAAAGACACGAACATATATAAGTATTACATCAAACATCATGTTTAGAACTTTGCCCGTGATAAGATGTTGGTCATTTCAGTTGGTGAGTATGAACATTTTGGTCATTTCAGTCTCAATTAGTCAAAAGCTAAGAGATAGTTAATACGCAAAAGATACTCAAACAAGTGGAACTCAGCAAGTAACACAAAGAAAATCAACAAACTCTAAATATTGTACATGGGAGTCAAAACTTTACCCACCTACTATCAAGTATTTCCGGTGAAAATGATTAACGAAACTAACATGCCAAAATTTCCATAAGGTTGTGGTTAATGAAACTAAAACATTGCCACCCACTTGTGCACAACTGTAAATATCAGCCAAGTAGATCCTCCTACCAAAAACATAGAATAGATGGCTTCTCCTTAAAGCAAAAAATCATCCTTGCTCTGAGAGACTGAAATCAACACTTTTTCAAGTGACAGTGTATTTTGTCGCAGTCTCATGCTCTTTTTCTTTTTCGTTACCATTGTCTCACCAATAGTTGGACGAAAATATGCCTTATTCTCATAGAAGACATTCAGCCAAAAGCACACTTAAATTTTGGGTGCAGCAGATGTAACATCATAAGCAGGACATAACCCAAATCACTTAAACTTTTCTACAAATAGAAAAGTTCAAGAAAGCATCATGTTTTCTACTTTCATTCATGAATCATGATCCTCCGGTGTAAACAAAGCTGCAAG